CAAAGACCTTTTCGGAGGCAAATTCCAGGAAGTTCTGGAAGTTGAAGCCAAACGAATTGAGACAGCAGACAAACTGAGCTTGAAGAAGCCTTCAGCCACTAACAAGCCCAAGTTCTCTGGGAAGAAGGCAACGAAGGGTGCTCCCTCGTTTCGCCCTGCCCTTAAGAAACCATTCAAGCCTTTTCGCCAACAGACGGCCAAGGCATCAGCTGGTGCAATGGTTTCAGCTCCACGCCCCTACTCTGCCCCTGCACGCCAATTTAGCGGCCGGGGACGTGGCGGTGGGCAATCAGCCCCCCGCTCTGGGTGGCGGCGGTGACGCCCCTACCGAGCCGACCCCGACACTGGGGCCCGTCGGGGGTCGTCTCAGAAATTTCGTAGGGCCCTGGAGAGTGATCACCTCCGACGCATGGGTGCTTTCTATAGTCAGCCATGGCTATCAACTAGAATTTACAAGCACCCCTCCGTCGGAAATATGTGTTCGCGAAACACCGGTTCCGGCAAACACAGACAAACGATCAGCTCTCGAACAAGAGATCTCATCCCTCATCGAGAAGAGAGTGGTCCGCTTGGTGCCACCAATGGAGCAGTTCACAGGCTTCCTGTCCTCCTTCTTTCTAACACCAAAGAAGGCGTCTGGCGAATGGCGGCTGATAATCAATCTGAAACCGCTCAACAAGTTTGTCAGACCCAAACGTTTCCGAATGGAAACTCTCCATGTAGTTCTAGAGTCATTACCCACACCAGCGTGGGGAGCGTCATTAGACCTAAAAGACGCGTACCTACACGTCCCCATCTTCCAAGAGCACTCCCGATTCCTTCGTTTTCGGTATCAGGGGCGCACTTACGAGTTCACTGCCCTTCCCTTTGGGCTATCAACCTCGCCAAGAGTGTTCACCAGGGTTGTGCGGGCAGTTGCATCACGTCTCCAACGAGAAAACATAATGATTTTTATGTATCTCGAAGACTGGCTGATAGTGGGAAAATCAGAAGGCCAGACTGCTCAGAATTTAAGGGATACTTATACGTTGACAACGAGGCTAGGCTTCATCATCAACGAAAAGAAGTCCAACCTAATCCCGTCCCAGGAAATCACTTTCCTGGGAGCAGAGATCGATCTACGCAGGGGCATAGCCGTCCCCATAGGGGAACGTGTTACCAGCCTGCGGAAGTGCGTCAAACTTTTCCTATCCGTTCAAGTCGCTCCAGCCCGAGCTTGGCTGAAACTTCTAGGGTTCATGGCCAGCTTAGTGGACCTGGTTCCATGGTGCAGACTGAGGATGCGTCCTTTGCAAATGCATCTTCTGGCACATTACAGACCAAAGACAGATCCAATCTCTCTATTGGTCTCGATCGACGATGTCATTCGGCCACGCCTCCCTTCCCCCTCGACAAGCTGCAGGCACTTGGGACGACAACACTCGGTCCCTACATATCAATGTTCTAGAACTCCAGGCTGTAGTCAATGCCCTACACCACTTTCAAGCAGACGTAGTGGGTCGGTCTGTTCTAATCAAGACCGACAACACGACAGTGGTAGCATATATCAACAAACAGGGCGGTACAAGATCACCCCAGCTGTGCTACCGGACTTGGGAAATGTTTCAGTGGCTACTCAGACACAAAGTCGATCTACGTGCCATTCACATTCCTGGTGCGGAAAACGACATAGCGGACTCTCTCTCCAGGGGCAAAGTAGTTCCCACGGAGTGGTCATTGAACAGGAGGATGATCGTATGTCAGATCTTCTCGATCTGATTAGGTTGAAACTTCACATTAATACAAAGCTATATATTGACAGATAATAATATTGCATTATTATTACTGTGCACTTAATTATTGTCATGTTACACATTTATTCACCGTGGCATTTTAGCACTGAATGTTCAATTCACGATGAAAAAATAATATATATTAAACGATGACGCAATTCAAGCATATTAAAACAAGTTCACTCTTCATTATGTATCATTACTTCAAAGCCTACGATGGGCTATATTGAAACTAAAATGAGAAATTTCATAAGACAAACGTGCTGTATTGCTGAAGTTCATAAGCAACTCTTGATTTCGTTACAAACACAGAAAAGTGTACACACAAAAAGGCTCATGCTTGCGATATCCACAGATACGATATCCACAGTTAAGGACTCTGTGGCCAAGGTCACGAGGTGACCATGATATTTTTGGATGTAAAACATAATCTTACAGGCAGTGGTCTGCCACAAACATGTGTCAAGAACAGTTGCTAAGAATCACAGCCTTATAATGCTGTCGAAGAATTTCATAAAATAGCAACTGTAGGCCTATGCATGAACTAGCAGGAGGAAAAGAGAACTCCTGGGCTATATTCTGATGACAATGACTTTGAAATGTCCGCAGCATACAAGTGTTCAACATAAATGCTCAAATAATATGGCCAATGACCAAAACAAAAATGCACAATGAAAGCTCATTATAAGAGCAAAATGCTCAAAAGAGCACACAAAAAATGCTCATAAAGAGCACAATACAAATGTTCATAAAAGCACAATATAAGGGACGCAAATTAAGTACCAACAAATGCGGTACTGTATGGCAAGATGTTACAACCATGAAGCCAGGAGGATACCTGATGAGAAAAGTGCCCAAAAAGCTCACCATGGAGCAAAAGACTGACCAAAATCAGTCAAAAAGTGTGTGTAAAGCTCCACCGGAGCAAAACGCCACAACAGGCTGTAATGGTGAGGAGTTTGGCATATCAACCTGGAACCAGTTTATAAAAAAAACTGTAAGGGCTCCCCGGGCTCCGCAGTACCGGTATGTTTTGTTTTTGTCTTAGAAACCAACGCACAACATAAGCTGGTGAATATATTGCGGAGTGACCAGAAAAGGTTTATTGCTTTACTCCTACAAATGAAAGAACTGAAAAGGGGCCTCACTGTAGGCCTCAAATGAATAAACATAAAAGAACGCCGAACAAGTTGCTGTGAAAAACATGACCAAAAATGTGGAACCGCACCTCTCACCATTATTTATAGTCGAACCAAGCGACATGCCCAGGAGTCTCATTGGTGAAATATTTGTGAATGCAATGCAAAAACGTATACTCAGTCGGCATATTCGATTGTAATTTTGCTTGTGGTTTTGTACAGGCTAGGCCTACATGCCTATCACCTTTCAATGAATGATAAACAAAACACTGAACATAGACCAATAATGATATTAGGCCTATAACTGTATAAGAGCAATGTTTAAAAGGCCTACAGCCATGGGCAGAGTTTCATGTCAGCACGTAGTTCAAAGCGAGTCTTGTGCCATGCCGTGTTTCAACTAGCCAGCCGGTCGGCGGCCCAGCCGAAGCAAATGTAAATTCAATATGAAAACAGCACGTTGGCACTGAAAAAAAATTGCCCCACAATACGGGCTGTTATTGGAAATTCTTCACCTCAAATTTCACCAATCTTGGCGCTATCAAAGCCACGATGAACCACAGAAGAGAAAACATCACAGAATACAGCAGGACGGTTGTAGATTTGTGTAAAAACACCTTAAGTTTCATGGGCAAAAAAATTGCCTTTTCTCCGGTCAGAGGTGGAATCGAGAATGACGCAACGCCAAACTATTGCCTGCTTTTTACATTCCACCAATGACCCCCGGTTATTTACGTGTTCAGCGTGTGACGTAATCGTAAACAACCACATCAGGGATCTTCTCAAAATTCTCGAGGTGTCCGTCCATAAACCTGATTAAACTGCGCTTAATCATCATATGTATTAGTCACGAGAACCCTGCCATACCGACAGGCTTCTCGCGACACGTATTTGTCATGACAACCCTGCCATACCGTATCAGCAGGCTTCTCCGACATAGTTTTGTCATGATGACCCTGCCATACAGGCAGGCCTTTCACGACATGTATTTATCACGACGACCCCACCATACCTTCAGGCTTTTCACAACAAGAGTGCCTGAAGGTTGGCTATGGTAATCCATGTAACCACGGTTGTATCAACAGCAGTCAGCATGCCCAAAATAAGGCAGAGCATAGGAAAGCAGTGTTGAGGGCCATTGACTGAGCCCCACAATGTTCTCAAGACATTTTCAGACCAGAGACCTCCCCAGAATTAGTGTCTTCTAAATCTGATTCTTTGAACTATACATATAATAGTGTCTATATGAGCCATGTCATGATGTTTTGCTTTTCATGATTAATTTTTGTGCCCAACCGAACTCTTATGTGTATGTACCGGTGGGCTGTAATTCATTACGCGCGACTCCCCATATCGGGGACTGCGTCTCAGTCAGCATGTTAAGGCTTCCATATGATTAATGTCCTTATCATGCAGACCTTTTTGGGCTGCTTTGTCCCCCCACATGTGGAGCGATGGGCCCATCCAGGTTTACGCGTATTGTTACGTGCCCCTGTGAAAGCACAATAGCATCTCGCATGACCCACTGCCTTCACGGTGCTAGTCTATGCATAAGTAGATTGCTCTACAGGTTGAGTTGAGCGAAGTAGACTCTCCCCCCCCCCCCCCCAGAAGTGTGGTTGGGGTCTACGAGCGAATACTTACCTGTAGAGCATCCCTCCCTCCTACCCCACTCTTCTTGATGCAGTGAGTATTCCGACTTAACACTCGAGAAAGGAGGACACTCACGAGGCACGTATGCCGCAGGGTATTATGGGTAGGGCGCTAGAGGGCGCTATTGTATAAAACTCTTGGCGCAAAGTACCTGCCGGTACAGGGAATATGCATAAGTAGATTGCACTTTACTTGACTCAAACTTGGGATATCTCAAATTTTTCATCCATGCCCTTGAGATTTGACTTATCGAGATTTCACTGTATTTCCATTACAAATAAAGTATATGTATATATCTTTCATTACACGGAAAACTACATGAGATAGGGTAAGGGGAAAACAGATGCTAGGATATAGGGAGATTAAATTCCTAGTCACAGGGGTGACTGACATACAATCGGTTAACAATTCTTTCATAATTCTTCATAATTTACAGGTCACAGGAAAGTTTCGCAGTGGGCACAATCCATTTGATCATGGTTGCGGTTTGAATTGCATTAGTGTGTTCTGTACTCCCACGTTACCAAGGTAAGAATTACAACCTAGTAAGTCAGTTGCTCCTATTAGGCCTCAAAAATTGTTGTTGCAACATTAAAAATGAAAGAGGGTCGTTCAGTAGGGATTTAAAAACAAATGTGTTGTAAACGTTTCTTCTGGCATGAACAATGCGCAGACGAATAATGCAAAGAATGGTAAGTTGTATTTAAATAATAATAATAATAATAATAATAGTTACCCTGGATTGGACATTTGGGAGACATTCCCATAGACTTGTGCACACAATTTTTCAAACTTAAATGTGCCCTAACCCAATATTCACTTGTCTTTTTTCCACAAATTTCGGTATGTTTACTAATTAAACCACGAGCAACAAACATAACCTGATTGCGACAAGTAACATTTTGGCTCTAAAGCGAGGCTGTGACATTAGGGAGACATTGGTACCTTTACACGTATAATACCTTGGATTGGACATTTGGGAGACATTCCCCTAGATTTGTGCACATAATAATAATAATAGTTACCCTGGATTGGACATTTGGGAGACATTCCCATAGACTTGTGCACACAATTTTTCAAACTTAAATGTGCCCTAACCCAATATTCACTTGTCTTTTTTCCACAAATGTCGACATTTTTGCTAAATAAACCACGAGCAACAAATATAATCTAATTGCGATAGTAAAATTTTGCCTCTAAAGCGAGGCTGTGACATTACGGAGACATGAAAATGTCTCCCTAATGACCGGAGTCTCCCTCCATTACGATAGAAATTACGATAACATGTCTCCTTACTGGTACATTTAGTCGTATTATAGTAATAATCATATTAATAATAATAAAAAATGTATTTATAAAGCACTTTTACAAAACAGAATGAAGCGTTGCACGAGGAAAGCCTATGATGTCATGAATAAGAAGCTGTTAAGGTGCCTTTTGAAAATAGTAAGAGATGGGGCCCCCCATCCCTGATGTTGATTGGAATGGTGTGCCACAGTTTGAGGCCAGCTATTAAATGAGACTTTTCCCCGAGGGATTTTGAACCTGTTGGAATAGGGGAAAGAAGTTTACCATTGGAAGATCTTAGCCCCGCCCTGCCTGGTTATACAGAATGAGTGAGTCACACAAGTAAAGAGGAGAAATACCAAGTAGGCACTTGTAAAGCATCACAAGAACTTTGAATGATATACGCCATTAGATGGGTAACCAGTAAAGATTTGTGATGAGTGCATTTGACAAGAGAACATTTTAAAAGGTGAAAAGTTGAGGAAATTCGGAAAGCTTGGTGCATACATTAATTGTATGCTTCCATTTCGTGAACCCAAACAAATAAACAACAATATTTTGCTCCAAAGACCACCCATTCCTCACCCAAACCTCATCCGAGCCTCATCCAAGCCTCATTTGGCAATGCTGCTGGGCTGCTTGCAGAACCTTTTCTAGACTGCCGCCAATATATAAATGCTCTCTATTAGACGGTACATGGAACATTTCGTAACCGGCGCAGCGTGCCTGAAAAACGAAGTCGATTCCGATTGTCACTTCTCATTAACTGTATTATACAAACCACGCAACGCGGCAGTGCAAATCGACAATGTTGTGCTTGGACTCTTCCACACTAAGCAGTGCATCAAAGTGCATGTTGACGTGTATGCTTCGACCTTCTCGCCTTTTCTTTCACTCTCGTGAGTATAACTCGTAAAACGGGAAGAGGACCTGTTTATATAAACTTTTTGTGTTTGTATGCGAACTTCATGAGTGACAGGCCAGCTGTTTATAGCTGGAGGCCTCGTCCGTACGTCTCGTTTTACGAGATCGTGCTTCATAATGAATGCTACCCAGATCTGCCGGCAATAAAAGGCACCTTAATTACCCCTGTACCTTGGCGACCTAACGATAGCAGGCCACAAATTAGGGTGATGACCACAGAGGCCTGTACAAGAGGATCTCTGCATATCATCGGGTTTGGAGAGTGAGTACGTCATTTTCTTCTGTGTATAAACATGCGTCCGGTGTCTGCGTTCTATAAAGTCAACATAGGTCATCTATGAAGTCATCTCATAATGATCAAATGTGCCAATAATTGTGTCATCGCCAGAACTGTATGTCAGGGCTTCATGCTTATGATGTTATCCCTTTGGAGGCATTAATACAGGGTGTTTCAAAAAAAAGGAAACCCAACTTCAAAGAATGAGTATGGACAGACGATATGTTTACTGAAAGCGTAATCTCTGTGCTTTTCAATGATGACGTGTTTAGGTTTTCTGAGTCATGCATCACTGAGCATCATTGTCTTGAAAACTGGATGCAAAAATGCAGTTGGTTCACTTTCATAAAAAGCAAACACTGGGCACGGTGTGCCTATTACGAAAATTTCTGTGAAATGGCTTGAATGTTAATCCTCGGGAAAATGGCACTTTGTTTTGACCATGGCTTGGTCAAAACGAGAAATTCATGACAAACAATAAAATCCAGTTTTGAAACCAACCCGACTTGTTTTGGGGTTTCTTTTTATGCACTCGTGGCTTCTTCTTGAATACTTATTCTCATGCACACCTTGCCTATTGTGTTTGACATGAAAGTGAACCAACTGCAATTTTGCATCAAAATCTCATGACAATGGCGCTGAGTAATGCATGACCCTGGAAATGTAAACAAGTTATCATTGAAAAGCATAGAGATGACGCTTTCAGATGACACCAGTTTTATAGCCAGTAAACATTTAGTCTGTCCATACTGGTTCTTCAAAGTTGGGTTTGCTTTTTATTGAAACACCCTGTATAGAGGTCACTTTGGTGGGCGCTCTCTCTTTACCGCGGTCAAATTTTACGACGACCTGAAATTGCATTATTGCCTTTTTTGAGTGGTCGGGCACAACCCAACCACTGTCTGGAATTGTTCTCAAAAATCTTCTTTCATTCTTTCTTTCTTTTTATTACAATACTTCTCCGCGGGTTTTCTCGTAGACGGTTTATGATATGAACTTGTAACTTTCAATATATATCGACCCTCATCATAAGTGGTGCATATTACTCTGACGTCACGTTGACGTCATCGGGTGTCAAATTACAAGCGATTTTATAGGGAAAAGTGGCCAAATACTTTCACATATAACTCTTAAACAAAATAATCAATTATGTTCCAACTTTATAATCAGATCGACCATTAGTTGATAAACGTTTTTTGTCGTGTACGGTGTACTTTTTTTGAAAGAAACCAAGAAGCCAGGTGCCCATGGCGATGAAATTATTTTTTAAACTATACAATACCCACAGAAAGCCTTGGCCCTACACCCCCCATGCCCCGACTCAACCTGCATGACTGCCCTCCATTTTTGCAGCATGGGCAAAGCTGAAAGTTAAATGATTTTAGGATTATTTGAACATAAGCACGTGATATAGTCAAGGCAGGTGAAAAGTACATTATGAAAGGGCACTGAATAAAATGCGTAACGTATCAGCTGTTGGCTCGCTTCAGCGTTTCACTAAGGGAATGTCTATGTAAAAAAAACGCTGAAATGTCAATGGAAAGTGTTGACCCTTTGGAAACGGCCTATCGCCAAGGCTTTCTTGAAACATTTTAATCATTTAACTTTCAGCTTGAATTGAACTAGTGACCTCAGTTAACTTTGACATTTGACCTGCAATGCACCTCACATTATATTTTATTTGTTTGTTGAGTGGTCGGGCACAACCCAACCACTGTCTGGAATTGTTCTCATAAATCTTCTTTCTTTCTTTCTTTCCTTTTTTTCCGTACGGCACTTCTCCGCAGGTTTTCTCCTAAACGGTTCATGGTATGAACTTGTAACTTTCAAGATACATGTATATCGACCCTCATCTCAAGTGGTGCATATTACTCTGACGTCATGATGACGTCATCGGGTGTCAAATTACAAGCGATTTTCGTTGAAAAAAATAACTGTCTTCCTTCACCTATAACTCTTGAACAAAATGATCAATTATGTTCCAACCTTGTAATCAGATTTTTGTCGTGTACGTGAACTCGTTTCAGCTTTACTTCCAGATCAACCGGAAGGTCAAAGTTAGGTGAATTGAAAATACAGACAGAAGCCTCAAAATCAAAACGAACCGAATTTCTTCCAAACGATCTACGGGATCATGATAAAACCTGGTATAAACTTCAGCCCCCGTCCGAAGATGTAAAAAAATCTGACGTCATCATGTATCAAATTACAAGCAATTTAAGGGCCAAATTTGTGAAAATGGTTTCAGCTATATCTTTAGAACTAAATAGAGTATCGTTTTCGTTTTTGCGTGAGGTTGTAAATGGTGCCTCGGGCAACAATTCTTATTCCCGGGCACAAAACTGCTTGACCTTCACCTCCGGTGTTACCGGAAGTGCAATAAAAATTGAATATAACTCGAAAGCGGAAGCTCTTTACTATGCGCAAATAAATTATGGAAGTGTTTAGAACGGAACAGAGAACACAAAAACAGGATTATGACGTCAACATTTGACAGGGCGCCCTCTAGCGGTGCATCAAATATGGTTTCTTTTTTTATTTTTAAAAACCATCCGTCCAAATCGCCCCTTGTTATTTTTTTTATCAATTACATATAACTTTGCAAGGTTTCAAAATTTCGATGTCATCAGACCAGAAGTTACCGTAGGGAGAATTTGAAAATGATCATTTTTATAAATTCTATCATTTGATCCCTGTCTTATGACTTTGTTCTTAGCCCAAATAATGATGTCCGTTACAATGTTGACCTTTGGATCTTTAATACTGTGATGTCATCAAACCGGAAGTTAGGTGTTATTATGTTCACTTATTCGTATTTTCCATATTTTCATACTTTATTTTAACTTCATAATGAACAGTGTCCTCTCCAAACTAAATCAGTATTCACTTTCCCTTTTTGGACTGATGACGTCATCAAACCAGAAATAACTTGTACATGTACACAAAATGTATACTGAAATTTGATACACTTTTGTTTTAAACAAAGTCATTGGTTGTACTGGAAAGGTTAAATTTTCGTGATCCTTTGTTCTGACTTAAA